TCACAGGGGCTCAGCTTTCGACTTGGCCCTGCCTCTGCGTGTAGGTCGCTGGAGGGCGTCTCATAGAGCAGAGTTTCTGAGCCTCAGCACAATTGATGCTTTGGGCTGGATAATCCTTTGTTGTGGGGCTGTCCTGTGAATTGTAGGTTGCTTAGGAGCATCCCTGGCCTCTACCTTCTAGGTGCCAGTAGCATGTCAGTTGTGACAACCAAAAATGTCTCCAGAGATTGGCAGATGTCCCCTTAGGGGCAAAATTTACCCCAGTTGAGAACCACTGGCATAAGAACCAATGTTACCACCTTAGGTCAAACTTGAGTTTTCTTTCCCTGTCTTCTCTCTTCTACGGAAAGTTGCTTATGACCAGGGAAATTTTAGTGTATATATACTCTATCTCAGGGTAAAAAGTTGTTGGATAATTGGTTATAGGTACAAAATTATCAACTTGCTACCCACTTGCAATATTGCATATATAATAAAATGCTTTTAGTTTATGTAACGGTCTAATTAGAGTATATATAATTGGAAGTCTAATTTACAGTAAGACTGTTAGAATCTTTGTGATTAGGTATTTATTTGTACAAGGGGAACATTAGAATGGCACCTCAAAATTTGCTTTTCCTGTACTATTTGTACTTAGTTGGTGTTGCCTCTGTAATGTGCCCATCATCCTTTGCCAGAAGAGCATAAATATTCAAAATATCTGTTTGAAGGGGATTTGGTTTTTTTGTTCTGGGCTTTCAAAAAATGTTTTTTTTTTTAAATTAGAAATGATAAAGTAGATTAAAGTAAGAGTCACCATTAAGTAGTAAATAATAAGTAAACTCATTGAACCTGTTTGCTATGCATATATTTTTAATTAAACAATATCATGTAGATAATGTTCTTCAACCTTTTTTAAAACAGCGTAGTGTGGATATCTTTCAATGCATACATGATTTTTTTATGTCTACATAGTGTTCGAGACAAAATTTTCCCTCTCTCCATGTTTTTTATGGAAGTAATCCAGTCCCGTGGTTTCAAAAAATAAACTGTAATGGCCACAGCGGGCGAGAGCGAGCTGCGGCTGCCACCCGGGCCCCAGGGTGATCTCGGGGGCCTGGGGCCCCGTGCGGCTGGCTCGGTAGCTTTTCCCTCCTGCCCCCGCCGCGCGCGGAGTCCTTCCTCCCCTGGCGGGGTCTCCAGCTTAACCCAGACCAGAGGAGGCTTTTCTTTGGGTGGGGGACACGAAAGTGCGTTGAGAATTTCTCAACTCGGGAAGCAGAAGTGCTGCTCCTAGGTTTTACAAGGAGTAAGGGGGGAGCAGCGAGTTCATGGATATTGAGTGATGATAATAGCTAACATTTTTCCAAGCCCTCGCTGTGTGCCAGGCACTGTGAGGAGCAACTTGTGTGTCTCTTCTTTACTCCCGAAATGCCCCGATGAGGTTGAATTGACCAAAGCAATGGTTATGGAGAAGCCTAGTCCCCTGCTGGTCGGGTGGGAATTTGTGAGACAGTATTGCACACTATTGAACCAGGCCCCAGACATGCTACACAGATTTTATGGAAAGAACTCTTCTTATGTCCATGGGGGATTGGATTCAAATGGAAAGCCAGCAGATGTGGTCTATGGACAGAAAGAAATCCATAGGAAAATGATGTCACAAAATTTCACCAATTGCCACACTAAGATCCGTCATGTTGATGCTCATGCCACCCTGAATGATGGTGTGGTGGTCCAGGTGATGGGCTTGCTCTCTGATAACAACCAGGCTTTGAGGAGATTCATGCAGACCTTTGTCCTTGCTCCTGAGGGCTCTGTTGCAAATAAGTTATATGTTCATAATGATATCTTCAGATACCAAGATGAGGTCTTTGGTGGCTTTGTCACTGAGCCTCAGGAAGAATCTGAAGAAGAAGTAGAGGAACCTGAAGAAAGACAGCAGACACCTGTGGTGGTACCTGATGATTCTGGAACTTTCTATGATCAAACTGTCAGCAATGACTTAGAAGAACTTGTTGCTGAACCAGAGCCTGATCCTGAACTAGAGCCAGAGCAAGAACCGGTGTCTGAAGTCCAAGAGGAAAAGTCTGAGCCAATATTGGAAGAAACTGTTCCTGAGGATGCTCAGAAGAGTTCTCCAGCGCCTGCAGACATAGCCCAGATAGTGCAGGAGGACTTGAGAACCTTTTCTTGGGCATCTGTGACCAGTAAGAACCTTCCACCCAGTGGAGCTGTTCCAGTTACTGGGATGCCACCTCATGTTGTTAAAGTACCAGCTTCACAGCCTCGTCCAGAGTCTAAGCCTGAATCTCACATTCCACCGCAGAGGCCTCAGAGGGATCAAAGGGTGCGAGAACAGCGAATAAATGTTCCTCCCCAGAGGGGACCTAGACCAGTCCATGAGGCTGGTGAGCAAGGTGACGTTGAACCCCGAAGAATCGTGAGACACCCTGACAGTCACCAACTGTTTATCGGCAACCTGCCTCATGAGGTGGACAAATCAGAGCTTCAAGATTTTTTTCAAAATTATGGGAATGTGGTGGAGCTGCATATTAACAGCGGTGGGAAATTACCCAATTTGGGGTTCGTTGTGTTTGATGATTCTGAGCCTGTTCAGAAGGTGCTTAGCAACAGGCCCATCATGTTCAGAGGCGAGGTCCGTCTGAATGTGGAAGAAAAGAAGACTCGAGCCGCCCGGGAAGGGGATCACCGAGATAACCGCCTTCGGGGACCTGGAGGCCCTCGAGGTGGGCTGTGTGGTGGGATGAGAAGCCCACCCCGTGGAGGCATGGTGCAGAAACCAGGATTTGGAGTGGGAAGGGGCATTGCTCCAAGGCAGTGAATTGCTCTTCACAGATCTTCAGGCAGCAGTACAAACCCTAGCTCCCACAGAATGGTGATTTCTTCAGCCAACCTTTGGTATCTTGGAATCTGATCCTAGTCTATGATAAACTGCTTAAGTTTGTACACTTCTACTTTTTGTGTTACTGGTGTGTGATCCTTCCCCTCTCACCCCCACCCCCCCACCTTTTAGTCCTTCACTTCCAGTTTTGTGGAATGATATTTTAGGAAAAATGGATTTTTAAAGAAGAAAAAAAAAAGACTGCATTTCCTTGCTTTATTTGCATATAGAGACTGGATTTTTTTTTAACAGTTTCCCCAAAGGATTGTGTCTTGCTTATTACTGACATTTGGTATGTTTTATTCATTGGAATATTTCTTACTTATTTTCTACATGTTTCAAAAGCCTGTGAGAATTACAGGATTTGATAAACATTTTGAAGGCAGGAAGAACCCAAATTGTCTCTTCTTTGAGAGTCATGACTACCTTCTGGTGTGGAAAAATTGCCGTTGGAAAAATTGACAATTTAGATTCTCTCTGGTATGGTTAAAAACTGAATAAAAGGTGTTAGTAGAGTTTTTCTTTGGATATGTGGTTGAAAAACAGTTCCAAAACCTGTTTTTACCATTGAAATTTAAACTGTGAGATAGGTTTTAAATGTCTAGAATGCAACTGATAAGCTTTTCTTGAACTGTTAAGATTTTTTTTTTGAAGTAGAGTTTTTTCATGTTTAATTTGTATTTGTAAAAAAAAAAAAAAACCAGAAAGACCCCCAAAAATTTCAAAAATCTGAATAACACAGAACCAGAGCAAAACTGTTGTGCCTTCTATTTATCTTTGATTCCAGTCTTGGCAGTTGTTTAAAGAAAAATAATAATAAAAAAAATAAACTTAGATTTGTTCTAGTAAAAAAAATTAAAAACTGTATAGGACTAATAATATACAAAAATTACTTAGTTTGCTTCATTTAAGACTTGAAGTGGGCAAGGATAGTACAGTGTCAGATGTAGTAGAAGAAACACTATAGCTGACATTCTAATTCTCTTGTAGACGTAAGTGAACACAACAATAAAATGTGCTGAAATACAGAGCTTTCAAACTTGTGAACTTTTATCCCCAGCATCCAATACAGTGTCTGGAACATAATAAGCTCTGATGTATTTGTTGAATAAATGAAAAATAATATTTTGTCTAGGTCTGGAGTATATGTATTTGATTTTCTTTCCAGGGTCCTGTAATGCCAGGGAGTCATTCAGTGGAAAGATTTGTAATAGAAGAGAATCTTCACTGCATCGTTAAGTCCCACTGGAAGGAAAGGAAGACTTGGTAAGATGCTTTTCATGGTACTTTTACTAGAGTGGAGAAAAAGTAGCAATCTTGATGATTTAGTAAGAGCAAAATGTACGTTAAGAGTAAGAAAATCTTCCTCTCTTCCTGATGCCCTGTCTTGCTAAGACCGATCTCTAAAACACTTGATTTGCTTTCTGGAGGCACTTCACCCTCAAATAGTACTTTCTTGGATGCTGTATACTACTGTAGTGCTTTATAGTAATATGCATATGATGCCTGCTCTTTTGTGTGGCTATTTGCCATGTGCTCTGGACAAATTAACTTGAATGGCAAGCTGTTTTTTGTATGAATGTTGTGGGAATAAATGAATACTAATGGTTTTGCTGTTTCCTAGCAGTTAGACATCAAGCTTTGGAAAAATTTATTTTTAATATTTTCTGAAACCTTGGAAAGTTTTGGTTTAGATCTTAAAATGGAAAGGAATATAGTATTTTGGGAATGCTCTACCTTATAAAACATTTTAAGTTAGTAGATCTGAATATACTTCCTTACTATTATTACTTACATGCCTTTTTTTTTTTTTTTTTTTTTTATTGTACGCGGGCTTCTCACTGTCGTGGCCTCTACCGTTGCGGAGCACAGGCTCCAGACGCTCAGGCTCAGCGGCCATGGCTCTCGGGCCCAGCCGCTCCACGGCATGTGGGATCTTCCCAGACCGGGGCACGAACCCGTGTCCCCTGCATCGGCAGGCGGACTCTCAACCACTGCGCCACCAGGGAAGCCCACTTACACTCCTTTTGATCTTCCAAGGAGTTTTGCATGCATTAAAGAGTTTCCTTATGGTAGACAGAATAATCTGTGCTGTAGTTAAGTAACTGAAATCTAGAACATTTCAGAAAAGATTTCCTTTATATCGACATACACTGTTTTTGAAACTGCTTATTTAGTTTTTCATATATCTGTGTGTACTCATTAAGCTTAAATTACACTTTTTATAGTGCTGCACAGCTAGTGAGTTATCCTGGGAAGAACAAGATCCCCTTGAACTACCACATAGTTGAGGTATGCATTCCAAATGGAGCTTGTTTTTAAGTTTCAGAATCTTTCTGTTGACTGTAAAGTGTAATCTACTCTTGGTCTTTTTGTTGTTCTTGCTACTTGGCAGGTGCTGAAAATTAATAGAGAAGAGAGGAAATTGCTTTCAATTTTGGAGCTCTGTTAGCCATGTTAGTAAAGAGAAAAGAGGAGGTTAAGCCCAGTGTACAAATGGAATTTTGAGTTGCCTGTAATTTATTTATACATTGATAGTATATCTTCATTCATGAATAGTTATCATGGATAATGTAAGTTACCTCTATCAACACATTGTCCACTTAACAGATGTATAAGAGGCTTAAATATTTTAAAATATTGTATTCTTTAGGCAGATAACCCATCTTTAACTGTGTTTATCTGGCCTCTTATTACTAGCATACCCCTGACTAGTGTATTATTTCCTGTATCACAGGGTAGGGATAAGTAGGAATCCTTCTTTATTCTTAGAAATCAAAAGAGCCAGTTGTTTTGGAAGTGGAAAAAAATAGATAATGCTTTTGATTCCATATGAAGTCATACAGAAGGATGATACTAGTAGCATAGTTGAACACCTTGTAGAGATTTATTTCCCAAAAAACAGTGTTTTCACTTGACCCAAACTGTCAGTTGCATTATTCATTTATGTTAAAATACTCAAAGTGAGCATAATTATGTATCATTTGATTCACTTTTTATTCATACTATACCTGTGTACTTCCTTAGAAATGCTGCATCTGTTCTCTTTATAGAACTTGAGAGTGTGCTTAGGCTATGAACTTGACTCACTGATATGTCAGTTGAAATGCAAAAACATAAATCATATTTTTAAATCTGCAAAATGTGTAGAAATTCATACAAAAATTTGGGAGATGGGAGTGAGAAGAAGGAATGCAGACCAGGCTCTAGAAGTCGAGGTAGATGGTCCACAAATTATATAAGGAGGAAGGAAACAAGTTTGTGAACGAGAGCATGGCAAAAAAGTCTTGGAATACCAAGAATATAGGAACAGTGTAGAATGAGTTAATAACTATCTTCTGTTCCCATCCTCCGAGTCTACAAAGGACTTTTACTTCTTATAGGAATGAAACTGGTGGATCTGTGAGTCCCCAGTAAACTGTACCTCCCTGAATTAACTCTGATACTTCCAGAGTTGAAATTGGACAGTTCTCTGGAAGTATCAACTAAGCATTAATTTTTGCATATTCTTATTTGATTGAGTTATAGAGATAAGAAATCTTCATTACAGTATTCAATTGTAGATCTTTGTATTTTAAAGAGCATAATTTTAAAGGTTAAAAAGTAATTTTTTTTATTATGAATACCATAGAGTTAGAGTTTAGAACATTGAGGTGTTTCTAATAGTAGAAGTGTGTAGATAGCTGTTGAATTGAGTTCTGACTTGTGATTCCTTTGTAGGTGATCTTTGCAGAGCTGTTTCAACTTCCAGCACCCCCTCACATTGATGTGATGTACACAACACTTCTCATTGAACTGTGTAAACTTCAGCCTGGCTCACTACCCCAAGTTGTATCCTTTCCTTTGTTTTTAATGTACTCTCTTTGGCCTGACTTTAAGAGATTATTAAATATTTATGCTTGTGGGTTTAAATCACTTCATGAAAACAGTCTGGCATTTCTTTAAAAGTTAAACATTACGTGTACTATACAATCCAGCCATTCTGCTCTGGAGTATTTACCCAAGAGAATAAATGTTCATAACTTTATTTGTAATAACCCAAACCTGGAAACAATCCAAATATCCATCAATACAGAATGGATAAGCAAATTTTGTTACAGCTATACAGTGGAATACTACTCAGTAATAAAAAAAGGACAAATGTTCAATGCAGGCAGCAACATGAATGAATTGCAAAATAATTATATTGAATAAAAGGTGCCAAACAAATATGAATTCATACTATATGATACCATTTACACAAAATCCTAGAAAATGCGAAGTAATATAGTGACAGCAGACCAATATTTGCTTGGGGGCATAAATGAGGGGAAAAAGGGAGAATGGATTACAAAAGAGCATGGGGAACTTTTGGAGATGATGTAAATGCTCATTATCTCGATTTCATGAGTGTATACAGATCAAATGTACATCACTGATAACTCAAAGATCAATTACTTGAAACGAAACTCAGCATTATTTGTCATATAGACTTCTAAGAAATGTTATTTATTTTTTCTATCACAGCTTATTTTCAAGGAGAGTATAGTTTTCCTTATCCTGAAATTGACAGCTTGCACAGGCAACTGAAATGTTATACATGCGTTTGGACACAATGAATACTACATGCGTAGACAGGTATAGTAATTTCCTTATTTCTGTACTGAGTGTTAGCAGCTTCTGCTCCCTGTACTTTATAAAAGAATTTGATCAGGAAAACATTCGCCTTTTTAAGAATTTCCAAGTTGGTTTTTCTTTCTTGCCTCCCCCAAATAATCCTTTATATAATAAAACTCATAATTGTTATAACATTACACTTTCTAGTTTAATTTTCAATATGAAATGATGCCCATACTGAGGTTTTCTTTAATTGCATTGTTTGGTTCTTTGGTATGGTTATACTTTTCCCTCTGTAATTGGGTAGGTAAGCTTTTAAAATAGGTTTTATGCTAACCCATATGTAGAAGCAGAGTCTAATACTGTATATTTATGTTTATATAATACGTATTTTTGTTTATGAATAGTATCTGCTTCTAAAATAATTAGCTACTATGTAACTACAGCTCCAAGACTCAGTTTATACAAAAGGCCATATTGGATTTTTATAGCTGTGGTAATTTCATGCCTGTTGTTGTCTTCTGAGTGAGGTCTATGTACTACGTTTATTAGCTGGTGTTCTCTCTTCTGTCAGTTTCCCAAAGTAGATCAGGACAGATATTGAACATTTCCATAATCTGTCATGTCTGCTGTTCAAATGCAATATTTGAAAATTATCAGTAAAGGCTATCCTGTGTCGTTGACCTATTATCTTGAGTAATTTTAATGACTGAAATTATAGATACATGAGGGATGTGCTTTAAGAAGGTGTCTGCTGAGTTTTTTTCCCCAGTCTAATTAATAAACCATCAGTTGTGCTGGGCATCCCTATTATGCCATTCATTCAGCAAGTGTTCATTGGGCTCTTAAAGATTTCACAGTGTTATACAGTCTACTAAGGTGATCCCTATCTAGTCAGAGAGATCAGATGTGTTTTTAAGAGAAAAGGGGGCTTTGATGGTATATTTTGTTGTTTGTGGTGAAAGGGTGTGGTATGATGATGAGAGACTACTTTGGCTCGTCCGTTTATAAAACGTTTTTAATCTTTTTTACTTTTGCACCTCACACCTCTGTTTCGTTGTCAGTTAAATGGGGAAAATAATACATTCCTCAGAAGTTATTGTGAGAATTAAATTATATAAACACAAGGTACTTGATATAAAACACGCACTTGAATCATATCTATTATTCACTTAAAAAGGATAGCACTGTTAGGAGGAGTGAGATTGGGGACTGTTACTTTTTGAAGTAGAAGGTGAGTTACAGGATTTGTACAGAAAAGGGTAACTGGCAGGAGAAAATACAGCTGTAGGTAGGGGGAAATTGGGTTTTGTCTGAAGGATTATGTAAGTTCCTGTTATAAATTGCAACCATTCATCCTTTTCTGTCCCCCCCCACCCCACTTCTCTGTATAGGTTTATTAATTGGTTTTCCCATCATCTAAGTAACTTCCAGTTTCGTTGGAGCTGGGAAGATTGGTAAGCAGTGTTATGTATATTATATCTTTCTTCTCTCTACAGTCTACTATTTTTTTTTAAAAGTTAATATTTAAAACTATAATATAAAAGCAATCTTCTTCACGGTCTGAAAGATTTAGGGGTTTTTTGGTATGTACATAAATGTAGTAATTTAGGTAGAAGGGAACTATTTGTAGCTAAGTACAAGTTAGGTATAGGTGCAGATCATGTGTAAGAACTTATAAAACTATATTTCCTCATTAGGTCAGATTGTCTTACTCAAGATCTAGAAAGTCCCAAACCAAAGTTTGTAAGAGAAGTTCTAGAAAAATGTATGAGGTAAGTTCTTTGTGTTTTCTCCTTGGCTTAGGTCTTCTAATTTCTGTGGGGGTATTTTTCCCTTCTCTGCATTTGTGATGTATGTCTAGAATATTATTTTTAAAATCCAAGTACCTACCTCTCTTCCCTTTCAGTTTGTAATCAAGATTTAGGCTGAAAAACTTGGGCAACCATGCCATCTGGATTCTATGTGAATTAAGCCAATAAGGTTTTTTTTGTCAAATAGACTTTGAAATAATTTCAAATTTCAGGAAAACTGCCAAAACAGAGCTCTGTATCGTGTTCATCTAGATTCCCTAGTTAACATTTTACTACATTTGTTCTAATGTCCTAGTCCTTTTTCCCTCTCTGTGTATGTAGTCTACCCTTTATATTGGTCTTTTTCTGAACCCTTTGAAAACAAGTTGCAGATATGATGTCCAAGCATCCTTTAATGGTCGGTTGTATATTTCCTCAAAACAAAAACACTCTCTTACATGACCAGCATACAGCTCTCCAAATCAGGAAATGAGCTCTGATACAGTAATACCACTATACGATCCACAGATGCTGCTGAAAGTTTGCTAACCATCCCAACAATGTCTGTTCCCTTTCTGGTCCAGAATTCTTGGATAGAACATGTGTAGCATTTAGTTGTCATTTTCTTCAGTCAATCTTTTTTTTTTTTGGCGGTACACGGGCCTCCCACTGCTGTGGCCTCTCCCGTTGTGGAGCACAGGCTCCGGACATGCAGGCTCAGTGGCCGTGGCTCACGGGCCCAGCCGCTCCGCAGCATGTGGGATCTTCCCGGACCAGGGCACGAACCTGTGTCCCCTGCATTGGCAGGCGGACTCTCAACCACTGCGCCACTAGGGAAGCCCTCTTCAGTCAATCTTGAACAGCTATTATTATTTATCTTTCATGTCCTTGTCAGTTTTAAAGAATGTAGGCCTTACTTTGTTGTGTTGCCTTGATGCGCTCTCATGACTCAAGTCTTGCATTGTCCCACCACTAGAGATGTTAACCTTGATTACATGGCCATGTCAGGCTTCTCTAACTTAAATTCACCATTTTTTCCCTTTGTAGTTGATTAATATTTTGTGGGAAATACTCTCAGGTTACACTCACATCCTTTTCTTCATCAGACCTCCACTGACAACTTGTACTTCTTATCTATCACCACTGTGGTAATTGCCAAGTGATGATTCTCTTTGTCTATTATTTTTTCTACATTTATTAGTTGGCATTCTACTGTAAGAAAGAGCTTTCCTTTTTCACCCATTTATTAATTCCTGTGTTTATATATCAGTAGGGACTATTTCATTAAGTGGGTTCTAATTCATTACTGTCTTTATTCATTATGATGCTCAAATTGTCCCTGATTTGTCCATTGGGAGTCCCTTGTGGCTCCTGTGTCCTTTTTTTTTCTTCTTTAATGTCCCCCTCCATTCATTGAGCATTTCCTTGTTTCTGGCACAAGATGTCCCAGGCTTATCTTGTATTTCATTGCCCCTTTCCTGGAATCATCTATTTATTCAAGGAGTCCGAGTTTCTTTTAGTGGAGCATGGCACTTAGGAAGCAAGGTCTGGACACTTGATGTGCTTGTTGCTATTGGGGTGTCATTGGTTCTAGGCCCTCTGGATGGACAAGGGTAGTGAATATATTTATATACATACACACACATCTGTAACTATTTTTATATCCACTTAGATGTGTGTATCCCTCCAATTCCAACCAAACATCTCATTTTTTCCCTAGCCTTACCCTTTGCCATGATTTGTAAATACCTTTGCAGGCATTAAGAAACCTGGTTCCCATTAGCCTCAATAAGTATTTGCTGCAATATAACCAGTCTCCCAACCATACAAACTGTTTCCTCTACCTCATTCCACCCCACCATCACCACCCCACATACCTGGCCTCCAGGCTTGTGGACCCAGTGGCCCACATCTCAGTGCAAACCAGTAAGTTTTGAAGAAGGCCTGAGTTCTTGTGCTGGCTTAGACAACAGTTTAAAAGGCTTGTTGTCCCCTTTTATTTCTTGGTTGTCAGTTGAGTCCGGGGTGTTGGAGATTGGGACCTTCTGGGTAAGTTGGATGTTACTGAAGAATGGAACTGATGAATGATATTTTCTGAGGCTCTTATTTGTATTGTAGGTTGTCTTACCATCAGCGTATATTAGATATTGTCCCTCCTACCTTCTCAGCTCTATATCCTGCAAACCCAACCTGCATTTACAAGTATGGAGATGAAAGTAGCAGTAAGTAATAAAACAAATCCTGTTTTTAAAAGGTAATGCAAGTATTCTCTTAAGTCGGTTATCTAAAGTGGAGAAAGTGAACTTTTTCTCTTTTTGGGTTTGTATTTTGTTTGAAAGGTGATTTCTCACCTCTATTGTTTTATTTGCTGTCATCATTTTGAAGGTTTATTACGATTTACTTAGTTATTACTGGCTCGTTAAGTTTTTCTTTTAATATTGTTTATAATGTTATATCCATGACATTATTTTAAATGTTGCTAAGTATAGCAAGATGAATTTATAGCCAGAACTTAATAGAATGAAAATATGTTTGTCATGGCAATGGAGATTACTCGAACTGATTAACATCTGGTAACAGTTCAGGTGCACATAGACTGTATTTTGACCAGCAGTATGCCGCTAGAAGTAAATTCTTAAACACGCTTTTCTTACTTTTTGGTCACATCATTTCTGGGGTTGCACTGTAAATCGGGGGGGGGGGGGCTATATAATTTGATATGCCATTTTGTGCTTTACACTTAATGAAGGTAAAGTTGTACATTGGTGAGCACTGGTAGAGAGTTAGGTGTGGAGTTTCCAAGTTAGTCTTTTCATATGGCACTGAACACAGCTCCTCCATGAGCCTTCCAGTTTGTGTTGTGTAGCAGTTCTTTGCATCTGGAAACTCACTCCTCTCCCTTGGCTTCTCATATTGTACCTCTGGTTCTCCACCTGCACCTCAGACTACACCTGTTTTCCTTGAAATAAACTCAGTTGCTTCAATGCTAAGTACATTTTCTATGTTACTATGTCACGTATTCCTTAAAACAACTCTGAGAAGTAGGTATGTTTATTATATGAATTTTACAACGAGGAAATGGCTTCAAAGAGGTAAAGCCAGAGTGAGATTGCTTCTGAGTGGTAAAGCCCAGAGTCAGATATTGAGCAGCCCCGCTCTTGACCACTGTCTTTTCCTGAAAAAGCAAAGCTTGATGTGGTACTTGTAAGTGCCAAGTTTTGGTTTCTGCTTTGTACTGGCTCAGAGAACCATAAGATAACAGTCTTTGATATCAAAGGGTTCAGACTTTTGTTGAATACTGAGCTTTCTTTTTTTCCATAGAAATAACTCAGCCTAACACTTAAGGCCCTTCTGTCATTCCTACTTCATGATTTGTCAGTTCTTCTCAAACGAACCTCCACTCCAGCCAGGCCCACTTCCTTTTTTATTTTTTCTATGCTTTCTTGCGTTTGCCTTTGTGGCATTATCCCATTCTAGAAAGCCCTTTCTCTTCTGATTCCTGTTCTCTTTCCAGGGTCTAGCCCAAGCTCCGGTCTTTTAAATATTTTTTTAACCTTTGGCAAGCCAGTTTTGTGTTGCTCTCTGGCTACTTCTTATGTGAATATCTTAGTTTTCCACCTAGAATGTAGACGTCACAGTGGCAGAGGATTCTTTTTTTCTTCACTTATTTTCTCTCCCACTTTCAAGAAAAGCACACAGCACATGTGACCTGTTGTAATTGACTTTATTCATTCCAAGTGCTTAGTAGCTCATTCTATGTCAGAATTGATTTTTTGTTACCTCTTTGTCTACCTTACATTAAAAGTAGTTGTTCTGGTGACGCCATACAGTATATCAGTATATACTAGTACAGTATAATACAGTAAGGACTCAACAGATATTACCCACCAGTAAACATGTGGAGTCAAAGCACATGAGCATCTGGCTTACATAGATTCAAGTGTGTGGACCCAGCAAAAGAGAAAAGCAAAAAATCTGTCTTAAGTTGGCAGCCTTCACGTTGTTCAAACCCAAATTTAGTTTCCACTGTCTTAGGGAAAGGGAGGAGGAAGGGTACATTGACCAGAATCAGAGAATACATTGATTCTCAGCTTTTCAGCTTACGGAGGCCTAGGGATTTGAGGACTGTCAAAGGACAGCTGCAGCTGTGTCCCCTCACCCTCATCCCTGAGGAAGATCAGTACCCCTCATACTCTGAATTTCAGTTAGCTCCGTGTTAAGGAAGTATCGACGCAAGAATTACCTCTTATGCTTTATTTTAGGTGAAAAAACCATTGCCCTATTAAATGAAATTGTCGCATGTGGTTATCTTTATACAGAATATTGATCTTAGAATAAAGAGTACTCTATTTTAAAAGAATTTTTTTTTAAAGTTTCTCAGTATTTAACTAATCGCAACAGTAGTCTTAAAACCTGATCTACTCTCCTCCCCATTCTGTGCTTAGACTCTCTTCCTGGACATTCGGTTGCCCTCTGTTTAGCTGTTGCCTTTAAAAGTAAAGCAACCAATGATGAAATCTTCAGCATTCTGAAAGATGTACCAAATCCTAACCAGGATGACGATGATGGTAAGGGAATTAAATATTTCTTGAATGGAACTCTGTATGGGCCATGTTAAAAGTATAAACATAATTTTCTTAAATCTCATGGGGTACTCATAAAGCAATATATTTGTTTGGTCTGTGCAGCCTGACCATTGTTCCCAGAACCCAGCTATCTTCTCCCTTAAACATTCCCTGCTTTCACTTTAGAGAGTTTCCTGCCCAGAAAGACTTGGTATATTATAAAGTTGGATTTTCTCTCCAAATTAAACTATAAGTTTATCATCAACAGATAAGACAAAAAGAATGAGAGGGACTTGTTTTATGTCATATTAAAACATCTTGAAAATTACAATAACTAAAACAAAAAAATCAGTAAAAGAGATGAAAGTCTACTGGGACAACTAGGTTAACCATTTGTGGGGGGGCAGATTTTTGTTGTTAGATGTGTTACATAATGACGTGCACAGAAAAATGACGCAGTCAAAACATTAATGGTGTTTGGGTTATTTATTATTGGGATTTTGTTTAGATTTTTTAAGAAACTTGTATTATGATGTTAGAGAAAATGTATTTAGAAAGTATAATTCAAAATGACTGTTAAATTTAGACATTCTCAAACATCTTAGGACATAGACCTGTTTAAGGGCTTACTGTATTTTTTTCTTTTACTATATTATCTTGCCACCATGTAGAGAGATAAGAACAAGGAAATCTATGTGGTATTTGTAAAAAGAAGTGGATCATATAGAAGAATTAGGGAAACAATCCCAAAAAACTTAAGAATTAAGATTATGCTTAGTTTTATATTTTGAGTATTTGAAATCAGTGATAGTCTTTTATCATCTATTAGTACTCAAAGACATTTGCTTGGATGTCTCACTTGGTATTTGGCTGTGAGTGTGCCATCTGTTTAGCGATTCAGGCAAGGGACCAAAAAACTGCTATACTTAAAACATTTTCCTAACTCTCTTACTGTGGGCTATTTTTCAGATGAAGGATTCAGCTTTAACCCATTGAAAATAGAGGTCTTTGTACAGACTCTGCTACACTTAGCAGCCAAGTCATTCAGCCACTCCTTCAGTGCTCTTGCAAAGTAAGTACAATAAGAACACACATGCTGTCTTGAGGTTTAGGACTTTGTTTGGTGAACACCAGTGGCATCCTGATTTTTACCTAAAATTATTGACTGTGAAGATCTTAATAACAGTATTATCATATAATTTGATACAATGGGTTTTGGTTTGTGGTAGCTAAAATCCCCATCCTGTGGCTCCTGTCAGTCTGTTAGCACAGTTTGCATGTATATATATTCAATAGAATGTACATTTTTTCAAATAAACCTTTAGAGAAACAAGTGAAAAACCTGAGTCCATAGGACAGTCATATATACAGTCAAGAAGTTTCCACCTTGGGACTTCCCTGGTGGTACAGTGGTTAAGAATCCACCTACCAATGCGGGAGATGCAGGTTCGATCCCTGGTCTGGGAAGATCCCACATGCCGCAGAGCAACTAAGCCCATGTGCCACAACTACTGAGCCTGTGCTCTAGAGCCTGCAAGCCACAGCTACTGAGCCCACACTCCTAGAGCCCGTGTTCCACAAGAGAAGCCATCACAATGAGAAGCCCACTCGCTACAACTAGAGAAAGCACACACACAGCAACACAGCCATACATCCATCCACACATCAATAAGTAAATAAATTTATTTCTTTAAAAAAAAAAGTTCCCACCTTGTCTAAGCACCTTCCTGAAAAAAGGTTAGCAGAACTGAGAGCCAGCTACATTTTTAGGAGCCACCCAAAGGTTGGCATCTAAAGACAGAACTTTCTAACTCGTCCTACAGTTCCAAATGAAGAAAGAACATACAGATATTCCTTCAGGTGAGCAGAGAAACTAGACTCCTCACCCCATCTCAACTTCCGAGTCTCTATATGACTTGCAGGGTTCTCACAGAAGGTACAGTCAGAATACTGCACCTGTGTTTGGAGACAGTTCCTTAGCCCTCATCTATTCTTAGATACACAGTAAACTATAGTCCTAGGCTAATGATAGTATAATTTTCTTAAGATTTTATGACAAATTCCATACAAACTGAAATCCTAATCATACCTTTTATATCCTTTAATGGTTAACGTTTGGTTATTTTGCATTTATATATTGCGCTGTAAACTGAGTAACACTGTAAAGGCTTTGAAAATATTAAAATGTTTAATAAGTTTGTATGTGGTGTTTTTCCCCCACTGTCAAAAGGTTTCATGAAGTCTTCAAAACCCTAGCTGAAAGTGATGAAGGAAAATTACACGTTCTAAGAGTCATGTTTGAGGTCTGGCGGAACCATCCACAGGTAAAAACTATTTAAGACATATTGAGGTGCTGATTGTACAGGTATTAATTGCAGAACATGAAATTTGACTCTTGCCTATAGAAGTTTTTAAATCTGTAATTTTAGTGCTATGAAAAAGTAATGATGTTTGAGTCTTTCTTTAAAGAGCAATTGTTACGATTTGGTTTGGTATTATAATATCTCAGCATATTTTAAGTACTTAATAAGAATGCTTATTTCTTGGAAGGTTCTCCAGTTGGGTAGGAAAGAGTTATCTAGTCTAGCCAGTTTCTAAAAAACAAGCTCCAGATTTGTCAAATCTCGATACACTATTATCATACCATGTGTTATAAAGAGGCATTAAAATACATTTCAGAGTTATATTAAGACTTTTGTGATAAAACTATCTTGTATTTCTAAATTTTAAGATTCGATGGAAATTATATATTTTGTATATATCATCTAAAATTTAAAGAAACATTTTTAAGTGTTAATAGTTTTTCTTTTTGCTCAATCTTTGTGTTCTTGTATCCTTACAATGAGTACCAGAGCCAAGCGGAAGGCAAAATAAATCTTAAGACGTAATAGTTAAATTGTTCAGTTCCATAGCCACTGAAAATGAACTTCAGTTTTGCAGCAGTGGGATTATCGTGGCCTACATATAAGTGTGATTTACCCTAATAATTTATTTTCTCTGATTGTAGATGATTGCTGTACTAGTAGATAAGATGATTCGTACACAGATTGTTGATTGTGCTGCAGTAGCAAATTGGATCTTCTCTTCAGAACTATCTCGTGACTTTACTAGGTAATACAGATTATTTTACAAAGTTCCTGTTCTCTAAGAATTAGTTTACATGTGGTCCCTTATACATGAACTCCAAATTCTGGTCCAGACCAGGTTGATATTAATATAATGGTCCAATCTGGTAGGATTGGACTTGGCAAAGATTCTTGCACAATGGAAATCCACACAGCCAGTCCGGTTGCAGTGTCTCTTAGGGATATACGTAAGTTGAATTAGGACTCAGCCAATCAAGGAGAAATGCTTATAAAGGATCCAGACTATTGGGAGGGAAGATCAGGCTGTATGTCAGGGTCTCAACTAGACAATGGGACATGGGCAGGAGTTCCGGCTCCACTGGGGACCTGAGATGCACACCCGGAACTGGTAGAAATCACAGTCCGTCATAGATTACACATCATGGAGGGACTGAGGAAAGCCTGGTGGGCACCTGAATGCCTCTGGGGGAGGGAGGTCTCACCTCAGTCATAAAAGTCCTTGATTTAATCCATCACAACCTTTATCCTCTGCATTGTATGTTATTGGCAGAGGATACTAGTCTGAGATAAACTGAATCCTTAGGGTGAAAGAATGTGGTCTAAGGTTATCATACCAGCCAAGTAGGTACTCACAAATGAAGGCAACATCAGACCATTCTCAGATTTGCAAAATCTCAGAAAACTGACAACTCAAGTAGGTGTTAGCCATTACCCTGAATGATTTACATCTGCAACTCTAACTCTGCAAAGCCTTCCCTGACCACCCCTTCCAGAGTTAAAGTACTGTGCTCTTTTATCCTATCTGCTAACATTCTAGACCTTGAGTTTTATGAAATGATTGGTTTATTATCTTCCACTTCAACTGTCATTGTCCAGATTAAAATCTGTAGAAAGAAGTACTCTTCTGTGCTGTATATCCTGGGGTTAAGAGACCAAATGTATAGACATACAAGCAGTTAAGAAGCTACTTAAAAAAGCACATGCATATTTATGCAACAAACATTTAAAGCACTTACAGGTGATCCTGGTATTTGAGCAATTTGAGAAAGTAGTTGACATAAATATCTCATTCTTAAAAGCCAATAAAGCTTAAAAGCCAAAAAGCCAATATCAATAGCAGTTGATAGCTATTATCAACTAATGAGATTCTTAAATGTGTCAAGAGAATTGGCTGAGTTTGTGCTAGTTAAATATCAACAGTATAAACCATGCAAATGAGCCTCAGATTGTTTCCATTTCAAGTTGCAATACTTAGTGTTTACATTTAGAAGAGAGAAAATGTATTTTTGTTCCTGTTTTTTCTGGTTTGCCATTTCATTGAATATGTACACATACCTTCTATGTGTGTCTAGTAGGGGATGGAAATAAGAAAAATGACAAGGACCCAATATTGCCTTCAGGAAGCTCACTCACCTGAGTAATGGGTGGAGCTAGATGTTTTGCACAGTTGACAATACAAGAAAAATCATAATTGTTGCTGGAGAGATATGCCTTATTCTGTCTGCCTAAAGAACAGAAGGCTAGGGCTTCCCTGGTGGCACGGTGGTTGAGAGTCCGCCTGCCGATGCAGGGGACACGGGTTCGTGCCCCAGTCCAGGAAGATCCCACATGCCGTGGAGCGGCTGGGCCTGTGAGCCATGGCCACTGAGCCTGTGCTCCACAACAGGGAGAGGCCACAATAGTAAGAGGCCCGCGTACCGCAACAACAACAACAACAAAAAAGGCTATATAAAACCTCAAGAATGAGTAGGTTATAAAAGTTGAGAGGTCTTATTTTCTGAGTATAGTTTAACATATAGTAATCAAATGCCTTACTACTTTAAGATTGTTTGTTTGGGAAATCTTGCACTCCACAATTCGTAAGATGAACAAACACGTTCTTAAGATCCAGAAGGAGCTAGAAGAGGCTAAAGAAAAACTCGCAAGGCAACATAAACGGGTAAGTCTTGTGTTGATTGTAAATGGTCAAATAAAATATACCAGAAACTTTTGCGAATATTCATTACCTTGATGGGAACTTATTTTTTCGAGACCAAATCATGCAGAGCTGTTTGTAGAAGTGGAGGAAGGGACGGACCTGGGGTCTGCTGTTCTCTCATTCTGCACGGTGAACCTGTTTAGGAAGCCACAAACCCCACTTCTCCATAGTTCACCATCTCTGGATCAGTTTCATGTTTGCCTTCCCAAAAAGGAAGGAGAAGGAAGGAGGACACTTGTGTTTCTATAAGAGTTTCTGATGCAAGAGGGGAAGAGGGAGAAGACTATCTGTGTTCACCACTCCCCCGGTAAGGTTGGGGTGGTGGGGGGGTCACTCCCAGGCCTATAAGATACTTCTCATATTAATAAGTTAAGTATTTTAGCTATTTGGGGCAGAAACAGTGAGCTGGCTGTATCCTGTGATTTAGCAAACAGTGCTGGTATTGTTCATGACAGAATTTTCCAGTTATGCACATTTATCAGAGTAGAGGGTAAAAGCAAGCTTAATGATTTACATGAACTAGAGGAGGTTCGAGTGCTAGTCTCCATCTAGACATTCATATATACCTGAGTGTATGTATGTAAACACACAGATCTAAAATAGTGTAAGGTAAATGGTATCATCCCCATTTTATACACGTACAAACTCCAGAGACTTGACTTCACACCACTCTGTTCTCTAGATATGTGGTGTCCAATATGGTGACCACCAGCCACATGTAACTAGTTATAAGCTAATTAAATCTGAAAACAATTTAAAAGTCAGTTCTTCAGTCACATCACATTTCAAGTGCTCAGGTGTCGTGTGTGGCTGGTGGCTATTGTGAGGGCAGCGCAGATCTACGGTGATGAAAGTGTTGTGATGAGAGGCTCCCAAGACCCTAACCCTGTATTTCCCCTAGGAGCAGTTCAGTGTTCACAAACTCAGGGTTCCCAGCAATTTCATAAAACGTAAAACAGACTATGGTGAATAACAAGAATCAGCTGTACATTTTCCATGGAGCTCAAAGCTGTTTTCATTTTGAACGGAGGAAAAATGTGACACATATTTCCTCCTTGAGTGGGCTGTCTTATAAAAGGCATAACTTCTGCTTTATAGCAGATCTACCACGATTACCCAAATGCCACTGAATTTCCCTGGCCTAGATAAGAGGTACTCATAAAGACTTGGGACATTTTGCCTGTATGTTTGGGACACTGGAGTACTTTTACTATAGAATACAAGTCTTCAAATAGCATTTGACCAGACATAATAAAAATCCTTAGATTTGCTTGATGGGATTTAATATACTGCAGTCCTAAATGGTGTTTTCCCTTTGTTCCTTTGCATTCGGTAGCGGAGTGATGATGATGACAGAAGCAGTGACAGGAAAGATGGGGCTCTTGAGGAACAAATAGAAAGACTGCAGGAGAAAGTGGAATCTGCTCAGAGTGAACAAAAGAATCTCTTCCTTGTCATATTTCAGGTATCTTGGCTTGGGACACTGATATGTTCAAAGAAACAGTACATTTCTTTAGTTTTAAAAAATGTTTTTATCACAGAAGTAATACATAGTCATTTATAAAGATCTTAAATATATAAGTTTACAAGGGAAAAATAAAAGTTCACTAACTGGAGGTAATTCTGTTATTTACTTAATGAGAATTCTTGCATGAGCATTTCTCCTTGCTTTATAAAAAATGGATACTACTGTTAAATACCTCTTTCATATTTAATTATTCCCAATTGTTGATATATTTATTGATAGTTTTCCTTCCTGAAGATTTTTGTGTATACATTCCTGTTAACATTTCTGATTATGTCCTTAGAACAGGTTCTAAGAAAGATTACTAGCATAAGTAATCTAGACATTAAAGGTCTTCGGGTATTGCCAAAAACGATGTATACTAACTCACTATCACTGCTTTTCCACACTGACAGTATTTATTGAATTATGAAAGTTATGGATACACACCACAAAGGGTGAAACAAGCAATACCTTTGAGGTCTCTTGGCCAAAAATGTGATTGTTTCTGAAGTATAAGAATTTTCTGACACCTCTGGAACTTTGTACCCCATTTCCAGCGTTTTATCATGATCTTGACTGAGCACTTGGTACGATGTGAAACTGACGGGACCAGTGTATTAACACCGTGGTATAAGAACTGTATAGAGAGGCTCCAGCAGATCTTCCTACAGGTTTGTGGAAAACTGATTATATAATAAACATCATTATTCTCAGCCACAGGGATTTTCCATTTCAAAAAGTCATCAAATCTGTCAGGAGGTTATGTAGTACCTGTAAGCCCCTTAGTGTCCATTTGTTCCTACTGCTGCTCATCACAATATTTAGGCTTAAATTGGCTCTGTATCATTCAGACTCCTAATTGCCATTCTCTTTGGAGAGCCTAGCTGTAATACAACATATAGAGAAAACAATGCTAAGGGAAGAGTAATTAGATTTTAAGAATCTCTGTAAATTCAATGTGCAGATGATAACCTTGTTTCTGGAGGCACTATTTAAGTTCTCTGAGGTCCCTAGAGAAAGCAAAATGCAACACCTACTCTCTGCTAGATTTAAAGATCTGTAAGAAAAAGAAAGAAGAAGAAAAAGATCTGTAAGAGAGTGAAACTAATCCTTTGTATCTTCAGATACTAACACCCCAAATCCTCATTTGTTTGTTCTAGAAAAGAGTGATTGAAGGCATAAAAGGGGGGGGGGGAGTTCAAGGCTCCAAACAAAAACTTATTCTAGATTTTTTAGTTACTGTCAAATTAAAAAGCTTTAACAGCCCCTGGTTAGTCCTATAGGAATCTGAGTATATTAAAGTTTATATTTGCACACATAGAAGAAACTATTTCATTTTCTGCCATTTTTTTCCCAGTTAGGCTCAACAAGTTACTGATTTTCAGTAAGGCAGATGACCTCTTTATTTTTAAAAGATTAATTTAAAAAAATGAGGTTTTCCTATTTTGTGGAATACTTCACAGATCACTGGCTAATTCTATTTTTTTCTTTTGCAAAGAGATACGTTAAAGCCCTAACCAAAAAAAGGAAATTATTCCAAATTTTTATGTTTCAGGGACCATGGTTAAAACCATGGTTACTTAGTAACAGTGCTATTCTTATTTGTAATGTATACCACCTCCCCCTCCAGCCCCCCCCTTTTTAAAAAAAAATCTTCCTAGATCAGTCCCTGTCCTGACAGCTTTTTAAAAGTCATACTCTATTTTGTCCTGATTAGGGAAGAGATGCATCTGAACCTCATCTAGAATAGTAGCAGGTGCTGCTGCCACTGCCTTGAAAGTATGAATTGCATTTACATAGAAGCAGGCCAGAACTGGATTTTTTTAATTATTGAACATCGTTTTGTTTTGTTTTGTTTTTGAACTCGTTTACTCCTACATTTTCTTAATGTTGAGGCTTTTCAGGGGCCTATTATTCCTACCAGCAAAACCACTTTTTTTTTTCCTGTTCTTTCCCATCATTCCAGTGTGGATGGGCCACTGAGGAAAATGTTCTGCAACATTGCTTATGTGCGTTTTCTCCTGACCTAAACACTTATCCCCTTTTCTGTGTCCACAGCATCACCAAATAATCCAGCAGTACATGGTGACCCTGGAGAACCTGCTCTTCACTGCTGAATTAGACCCTCATATCCTGGCTGTGTTCCAGCAGTTCTGTGCCCTGCAGGCCTAAGGGTCATTTTTTTTTCCCCTCCTGTCAAGATTTTTTTTAAGATCTCAAAATAATGTCTTATTTTTGATGGTTTGAATGCTTGCTTTCTTGTAGCATCCTTTCTTGAAGCAGAGGGGGAGGACAGGACAGTGAAGAATATGGTATTGATTACCTTTAACTGCCCCCTAAAAAGCAGATATTCCCTAATGACAATAATGTGACAGTGACCATAGGATGGATGTATTATATATGTGACAGATACAACTTTGCTCTAATATTTTTTCTCCTTAAGGCACAAAAGATAACTGATTTGAGGTATGTGCAACACTAGAGGTCAAGCTTACAAAGTAGTATATAGAACTGATGGGTTTATTATCAAGTAGCATAGCTTTTCACAGCTCATGGGTAACCTAACATGGCTGAAATAAAACTGAAAATATGTTTTTTAAACCTTGGTATTTCATGATTTATCATCTCAGTCTACTTTAAAATTAGTGGTTTCTTACTAAAAGTGAGGTTTCTTACCTCCATCTGAAATTTTCTCTTCGAAGTATTTTTCATTACTGTAGTATTTTAAGACACTACTGTTATTAAAAGGTGTTACTAGAGTAGAAGTTCCCAAATTCATGTGAACATAAATCACCTGGGGCTCTTAATTTTTTTTTTTTTTTAATTAAACCACACTCTCTGGGGGTGGAACACAGACATCATTGGTAGTTCTTAAAGCTCCCGGGTAATTCCAATGTGCAGATAAGTTTTGAACTATCATCATCTTAGAACATCTGGTCATTTCCTCAAATCTGAGACATCTGTCAGGTCATACAGTGAATTACATGCTAAAGTGGGATTGAGAAGTAGCTAGATTGGCTAAAACTATACTTGGCATTAGATGTACGTTTGGATTTTATTTCTGTGGAGTCTGGGTGGGCCAAGTAACTACTAATTCCGGAGCCTGTTTCCTGTATGGTGTTGAGGCTTAATTAAGATGATAAAAGTACACTGTTAAATAACACACAAGGGATTATCTGACATTCCAAATCCTAGCATTTTTAGACTTTTTTCATTAAACCTTCAGAAAAATTTACCAATAATCTCACAACTGGAAGTATCTTTGTGCATTTGTAGTATCTTTTAGCTTAGTACATCCTAAGTTTATGATGCATTAGGTATTTTCCATATTAATATATGGGGTCTCTTTGGTTTACCATACATTTAGTGGCTACAGAATATAGTCTACTCAATAGATGGAAATTCCTAGGATTTTAAAATACCGTACCATTTAACAAATATACCATTTAACAAATAGTCACAAAATTAAGGTTGCATGGCAAGTTACTGGCAGAAAGGGAACTAAAACTCAGGTTCTTTGCTAAATGTTCTTTTGTTCACAGTTCCTCCTTCCCACAAACTACGTAATTAGAAAAAGCTCCTATCCTCAAGAAACTAAAGGATAACCATTTAAGGCTTTGGTTAACTTTGATCCTAAACTGCTTTGTAGTTCTTTCATAATGTATTGCAAAGTTTGGCTAGTTATACTTACTTGATCCAAATCCTAGAGGAATTTCTAGGTTTTCACCTCCTTTCTCTTGGACCCTCTCTTCATGTGTAATGGTTGCTTCTAACAGTTGCTCACTGATGTAACCCTGCTCTGACCCAGTCTGGCAGCTAGGTATATGAAAAAACTGAATCAGAGACTGAATTTTGAAGAAATAAAGGTCCAAGAGCAAACATTCAACAGTTGCTCTCCCCACTAATGAAGCTCACACAGACAAAAGAATGGCATGTCACTGTCACTGTACGTCGTACCTTGCAATAAATCAATATTCTATTAAACTGTGCTGATGCCATTTAACATGCTTTTGTCAAAGTGAACATATACTTTTCCTTAACTCTCAATCCCCCAGGAATTATTCAGAAAGCAGTTCATATGAAGATAAGTTTGTTTGCTTTTTCTGGAAAGTATTTAGCAGTGATTTGTATAACTTACTAATCTACAATTATACCTGAAAATGAACGATGAGGACAGAACTTGGCAACCTGAGTAAAAGCAGATCTGGCTGTCAGTGATAGCTGGATACCAGGATTGTCCTAGATTGATGAAGGTGAAGAGTAGTCGACTAGAAGCCACTTCAACTGGACAAGTCTATTAACTACACTGGTCTTGATGATATGATGTGCTCATTAACAACTGGCTGTTACGTGCCAGATGCTACAGATTCACCGTATTTAATCGTCATGAGAGTCCTTACATTATTATACCCATCTGACAGATAAAAACAGGCCCACGGAGTAACTTACCCAAGGTCCACAGGTAGTAAGTGGAATCTGAAACTATGTCCATGTGGTGGTTTTAGGGCTCCTTGTCTCCCAGTAGTAATGCTGTTGTCAGCAGCCTGAACCCCTAGTTACTTGCTGGGAAGGTGTTTTTTTTTCCCCAAGAAGTTCTTGCCGCCCATTTGGAATTGCTTTTTAGTGAGCTGTAATATTCAGCATAACACATTAAAAAAACCAACACTCGATAAATATATTAAACATTTCTGTATTGAATACTTATATAGAGAACAATTAGTAATTATAGTCTCAAGTCTTTGGATGTGACTTGTTTTGACTTTTGCCCTTCTTCCAGCATAATCTCCAAGAGCTGATCTAGAGAGAGAAATTAAAATGTACAAAAACTTCCTATTTATTTGTAGCAGTAGGATAAAAAGTCCTGTCAAAGAACTTGAAGATATCTAGTTTATCATAACTTGTTTTTATCAGGAAAAGAACGCATAGACCCTGGAATCAAGCACTCGGGATCAAATGCTCTTTTACTAGATATAACTACCTTGTAATCCTTTTGACAAGATAGAGGAATATTTGACTACCTAAACTTGATCCAGATGTCTGGGGTGATGTCAGGTTGTAGGTTACCCCTCCTTTAGAAGTGTTAAAACAAGCACAGAAGCAAGCTGTCTTCCCTCCCAGGATTAAATGAGAATACCTGTAAGGCACTTAGCATAGTGTCTGCATGGTACGTGGTAAATGCTCAGTGTTAACAAGTTATGATAAACTTATCACTACCTTTGATCAACAAACAATATAGCTGTTTTTCCATTTTAATCCAGATTTGAAAAGGGCTATCTGGAAACTAATATTAAGATCTATAGTAGTAAACCCTAAGGGTACAGAAAACTTGTCCCAGCAATAGCTCCCTGCTCCCTGACTTGCAGACAAGTAGTAGTCTAGCAGACCTGGCCCAGCCTCTGGGGTGCCATGGTCTACCACCATCCCTGCTGTTTCTTGGGATAAGAATCCAGTTCAGCCAGTTCTTGCCTTTACTACTAAAAGCTCTTCCTCCTTCCCCAATCTAGGGTTTGTCTTGGTTGCTTATTTCTCAATTTTAGCTCTAACCTAACATTTTTGAACCTATCACTCAGCTCCCATCCCTACTGTAGAAAAAATGGTCACAGACCCAATATTTTGCCCACAACCAGACCTGCTGGACCTTAACTGAAACTTGTTCTTAAGCCATAACATACATAATTATTTAAGCATTATTTATACAAATGTTTCATTCATCTATGAAGACTTTACGTTTTGATGAATTTTGAACAAGACCAATCTAAATTTCCACACTATAAAACATAGCACTTAACTAAAAATCACATTTTCTCGTATGTCAGTTCATGGCCACACACAGTACAAGTCTTCCGGTACACGTCATCCTCTAGGTTTTCTTCTGGTCCATACTCATGGTGATGAGCAGCTGTCTCCTTTTTCCATAGACTGCTTCTTACTGCTCGCCGTAATTCTAAGAGAAAAATAAAAGCCAATTTTTCAGTGGTGCTATTTCAGCTGTGTGTGTTTAAACCAAATGTGGTTTACACCTTAATTTTACAACAAATCAAAACTGCTGATACAGATTGGGCAAGCTTACTTATCTCACTCACTGGTTTGGCCTGTGAAATCATTCATGTGATTGTTGGAGTTAGTGTGAAACAGGAGATTCAGAATTGAGGTATATGGACTAGAGGGACCACAAAAAACTAGATTCAGAAGACAAGCGAAAGAACAGGGTTTGTTCGAGCAGCTGGCTACGGAAAACAAGATGCCACAGCAGGAAAGGGCAATCAGCTGGGATGACTGAGGATAAGGAGCATTTTAAATTCCTTGTAAGTCAGGAGCTACTTCTCTAAGAGGCAAGTCAAACTTTGCTCTCGCAAGAAAACTAGAAAGCCAAGAACTCCGCCACTAGTTCATGGCAGATGTTAGAAAAGCTGCTCATGCAACTGACCTTATGTCTATTATTCTTTATTCTATAAAATGAGAGCAATAGTTTAGGACATAAATTGCTAGTAATCATTGCAGGGTACAACATAAATAAAAGAATCACTGACTATTAAGACCCGGAAAGAACCATGGAGTTATTTTACTTCATTTTACTTTGCAGGTAAGGAAATTGAGCAAAGATAGCAATGGGAACCCAGGTCATTTATTCCAATGTTTAGAATTTTTTCCGCTACATCACGTTAAGATGTCATTTTCACAAAGAAAAGTTACGTTGGATGCTCTGAAAAGCGACTAGGACATTCTCAAGTTCACACTGCATGTTACCTGAAGAAACCAAATGCTTTGTGTTGATCAGAAATTAACAAGCTAATAACATCTCAGTTTCTAGTTTAATGAATAAAAAGCAACACGAGTTGTTTTCATTCTTCTACTCTGACCAGTGATCCATCAAGTCCTGCACTTCTGACAGCAGCACTACCTAAGGGAGGGTATGATCATTATCTTCTGTAATCTCAACCTTAAAAATCAAAGTACACCAAGTAATCACACATTTTGTTTAATCCATTTTACTATGATAAGTACTATCAAAATAATACTTGAATCTTTGTACCATGAGGATAAGCAAGCAAATAGGGCTATGTATCAGGCACTGTTCTAAGCACTTTATTTATAAACATTTAATCCTCACAACACTTTGCAATAAGTACAACTATCAACCCAGTTTTACAGATGAGAAAACTAAGGCTCAGAGAAGTTACATAAGTTGTGCCTAAGATCAGGCAGAGGCACAGTCTAGCTCAGGCCATGTTCTTAACCACTAAGCTGTGATGCCTTTTCATACACCTCCAACATGAAAAGCACTTTATCTGAGACATTTTCAAGCTTCAGTGTATATACCTCTAGACAGTTTCCAAACTAGGGAGAAAATCATGTTCATCCAAACTCTAACCTTTATTCCTATATCCTCTCATATTCTGAAGAACCCTAATTTTTCTAAACATATCTGGAATGTCCTTTATCCTTTTATTTTTCTACCTTGGGATATTTTTAAAATAAAAAATAAATGATATGCTGACCAGAACTACACAGATGCCTCATGGTTTCAGATAATGACAGGAAGATGTCTCCTGTCCAAGTTCCAATACCTACTTTTCAACTTTGCTCTGATGTAAGGTATCCTGGCCACTTTCCCTTTACTACCCCATGAGGAAAATCTCTCAAAATCTGACTGCATCCCAGTCGCTAAGCTAACTGCCCAGTTTGTGCATTATGTGAACTTAGGAAGAGAGATAAGAAAATTTTCTTAACACTAAAAGAATACTTAACAAAAATCCAGCTTACTAGCCATAACTGTCACAACTGAACATAAGGTTTTATATTGACTTTATGGCTTTTCTTCCCATCCTTCAGCTAATCTATCAAGATCTATAATGACAATAAAGCCATATCTTTAGTATTTATTTACTAGACATTCCTGGAAAAACTTGTGCTAGGAGGCACTAAAACAAAACAAAACTGGTATATCTGTCATTTTCGTGCCCTTCTTTCCCCACACGACCAATCTAGTCTTAAAGCCATGAGGTGGAGCAAGTGGGCATGGGGGCCAGGGCGAGGAGGGAGCCCAAGATAGATAAGGAGGGTCTCCTAGAGAGAAGGCAGCAACAGTGAAGGGAAATTAGGTACATTCAGGGGCACTAATCAAATAACTATATATTATAAAGGATAATGGAAATCAGGTTTCTCACTGTCAAAGAAGGAAATTACAAATAAGGAAAGGAAGAAAACCAGAATAAACCCTAAAATTTTGGATTAGAACTCGGTATAGTGTAAACTCAAGGTTTTAATTGTGTATTATACGTGTGTTTTAAGCTAGAAAGAAGTGGTCAAAGATTGATGAAGACATGTCAAAAGGACACAAGACCTAGCCTGAAGATACTCCTATGGGCCCAAATCTGAAACAATTTGAGCACCAAAATAATTGAGGACAGAAATGAACCAAAAGCCACTGAGAAGAATAGGAATTAATGAATCCATACCAGTAATAAACAAATGGGGGAATGATGCTATAGAATGCCGATTTCCAACCGGTTAAATGTGGAGTGAGTGCTGAAGGTAGAAAACAATTTTTGCAACCCATCATACTAAATACTGATTCAGGCAAGAACCGTCCACGGATGAATGTTAAATTTAGGGTGAAGTGTTGAGGAGAAGCAGGACATTTACATGGTCTTACAGGGTTTTTCTTTTGCTTATCAAAAATAAATATTAACATCACCATTGAGGGCAGATGGATATCACATGCCTCCAGATGTGACGCCCTAGAAAAGTCACTTCATTTATGTTCTATCCAACCTGAAATGAATAACCCGAATCTAACCACCAGGAAACATCAGAAAAACCCCAAATGAAAAACATATTACTGCAAAAAAGGCAGCAGGCAGGGGAAGAGAAAAGACTTCTTCAAAAATGTCAGTGTCGTAAACAATAAAGGCTGTGGAAATATTCCAGAATAAAGTAGTTTAGGAAGACTTGGTACCTAAAGCCAATACCTGATCCTAGACTGGATTCTGTACTAGAATAAAAAACTACACAGGACATGATTGGGTCAACTAACGGAATATGGGTGACAGATTAGATAAAAATATCAGTAGTATACTTCTGTAAGAGAATATTCCTATTCTTAGGAAATATACACTGTAGTATTTAGGGGTAAAAAAGGGTGGCAATGTACACAACCTACTCTTAAATGGCTCAGAAATAAACGTATGTGTAGAGAGAATGCAAATGACCTAAAGTTGTTAATAGGTAAATCTGGGTGAAGAATCTGGGTGTCCCTTGTACCATTCTTATCCTTGCAATTTTATGTAAGTTTGAAATTATTTCCAAATAAAAACATTTTTAAAAGACAGTAGCTAGACTAAAGGGGCTTCCAATGGCCAAATTTGGGCATCAAAATGAATAATCAGGAATGGACAGACTGTAACAGTTACTTGAGAATAAGAATCTATGAATCCAACTAGTACTAAAAAGAAGCTCTTCTTTCCAAAAGAAGCCAAATAGTAATTGTAGAAATAACAGAAAAAGTCACCATTTATATCCACCCTAATAATAACTGACTCAGGCAAGATTCAACCTGGGTGCTAAAACCACTGAGTGAAACTTAAGGAATGAGATGTTCACATAGTGTCAGTCACCCCATAGGTTTCTTATTAATTACAAAGGGGAAAGGGTATCTTTACAATGGAGCAATCTGGCAGACACTACCTTACCTAAGCGATACCATGTGTCTCCTGAGGTAACCGACCAGAATCTAATCGTGAGAAAACAAACTGCTTTATTAAACCAAAGAGACTATGGATATGCATCATCCTTGATTGGCCCCCGGATCCAACAACTAAAAAGCTATAAAGGACATTGGAACAACTGGGGAAAGAAAAATAATATAGATTATATACTAGGTAAAAGCATTATATTAATGTTGTTTATTGAGTGTGATTATTTTTTGGTTAGCAGAAACATGTCCTTATTTATAGTAGATAAATGCTTAAGTATTAATAAGAATCACAATGTCTGCAAGTAACTCTTAAATGGTTCAGCAAAATACGTGTGTGTGAATGAGGGAGAAAAAAGCAAATGCGGCAAAATGTCAACATCTGGTGAAATAAAAAATTTGTTTAAATAAGGATTAGAAAGTTTTTCACATTACTTCATTTAAGCAACTTAAAACTTTGGAAAGTAGAGGTCAACTACCTACTGGTGAGAATGAGAAGAAGAGGTGGAAAGATCAGAGACTTCAGCAGAGTGAGAAAAGGTCTGCAAGGCCTTGGGAAAACTAAGGAAACCTTGGGAGTGGAGCGGGGACATACCAAGCAGCCCTGAAAGCCTAACTGAGGCTGGAGAACAGGACAGCAGTTACCGCGTTCCAACCTCCTGGCCCCACTGGTCTAGGATTTCACAACACAAAAAGCTGCAGACTACTTCTCTGGGAAGGTTGTAAAACTGCTCGTGATAACCATCCTCTCTGCTACTGATTATCTTCAGGGACTGTTTCTACTTTTTACCCAAAGAAGTTTTCCCCTAAATCTTTGTTTCAATGAAAAGTGTATTTTATACCACTCTAAAACTTATTTTATCCAGCTTAATATCTTAATTTTACAAAAGAGGCAGCCTGTATTCAAAGAAGCCCAATGCTGTTTACCAGGTAAACTTATAAAAAGAACTAGTGGAGAGAGACCAGATACTTCTAAATACCTGATGGGAGGGCAGGAAGTTTTGACATAGGGTGCCCACTGGTAACGAGAGGGAAAAAAAATCACAAGGAGATAACATATGAAGCTTTGATCTTACTTTGTCCTCCAAAACTAAGGATAGGAAACTGTGTCCTTCAAACTCCCCTGAGAAGCCCAAAAATAGTCATAAATATAACCACAGGCCCAGAATGTAAAAATGTTCACAAACTTAGAAGGAGCCCCCAAATGGGATTTTCTCACCCACCTCTTCTGGGGAAAAAAGTGCATACTAACAAACAATGTTAGTTAGATTAATTGTTCTTTGTTTTTAGAAGGCTAACCTCTACCAGTATTAAGAGAAAGCTGAGTATAACTTTAAAGAAAAGCCTTACAGCCACGTTATCTGTGGAAAGGAGCCACGCAAACCCAAAATGTTCTGTGTATTTGCACCAATTCAAAGTTCCCATCCAATATCCAGGCCAACACATACTGCCTTTTTAAAAATCTAGTTAAACTAAGCACAGTGAGGCCATCCTTTCTACTTCTGCCTCCTTGGATCTAAGAGATCTGTAACAATTTGAACTTGCCGACAAGGAAATTCTTTGTCTTTCACCTTGTCTAAATTTATATATACACCTTACACTATCTATAATTTCCTTCTCTAGTAAGATCAATTCTTTCTTAAACTGATGAAGTAGAAGATCATATTCTAAAAGCAGGTAAATGTAATCTTACCTTTCCATAAAGAAGTAAACTTTGTGACAGCTTCTTTGTGGATCAAAATCAGAAGACCAAGAGGAACCAGGTTCCAATTTCTTTTGAACTAAAAAAACTTTTAGACTTGCTTTTATTCCTCTCTGTTCTGAGCCTTCTGAGCAAAGTGCATAGTAAGCTCCTTGTTTCTAATTTCTACAGTGTCTACTCCACTCTCAGCCCTTTGTGGCCTAGTCAGGAGGACAGGAACATATCCACCAACCTCTAAAGTAAATCAACAAGAAGCCATAATTAAAGAAGGCATGGCACTGACCTCTGCACATTAAAGACCAGAAGACAATGGAGTAATGTTTATACAACTGAGAGAGAACTCAGGTTTTCATATGCAAGAGAAACAGAAAAACATTCTTAAGATTCGTAACAGGGTCTTAGAAAATAAACCATTCTTGTAACCACTTGGAAAATTTCCTCAAAAAACATGCTTCACCCAAACAAGAAATAAACTGAATTAAAGAAACCAGTCTTAAGATGTCCAAGAAAAAATTTAGGGCAAATTCAAACTCTTCAAGGATGAGGAAAATCCACAGTAGTTTATCTGGTGGATAATAGCAGCAATTTAACATAGCAAGAAAAACAGCCAATTATGTTTGAGTTTATACTTCTTTAAAAAAATACCCATGTGAACTGTGTAAATCTTAAAAGAAATGTTGTATTCATGCTAATATTTAAATAGATATGACTATCTTAATTGTTACAGAAAAAAAGCATGAAGAAATTAAATAGATGCCATGTTATTGTTGGTCAAATTATAGAATTTAGTCCCCTTTAGAAGACATCTTGACCAAACTACAGAAATATTATAGTATCTAATAAAACTACAGATAGACCCTCTTTTGAAAATCTTTCATCACTTTGAAGGTATAAGTTTCTAATTCCTTTATCCATATATTATTATCTACATCAAAATACCATCAGGAAAGTGGTTTGAGGAGGCAGCAGAAAGGGAAGAGCTGAGGTGATGCAGGGAGCTGGGGCTGACAAAAACTCCAGGCTGGTATGTGATTAGTCTATCAATGTGCCCTCCTCTTTCACACCCCTTAAGGTGCCTTCTGTTACCTGATCCCTCAAGGCTTTCCTTGATGTTGGAAGAGAAGAAGGGTGGGGGTAAAACATGGAAGAGATTTAAAGAAAGGACCAAATTCAAAAGAAGTCTTTCCAAATCCTCTCAACTGGCCCTTGCAGGTATTCTGGAAGACTGTGGTACAGAAGTGGCTAATCTGGGGACGAATCTTCAATGAAATGCTCTTACATGGCATAGTTTGCTATAGGAAACCTCTCTACAAAGTCATATATATATATGTGTGCTTATTACCCTCTGATTCAGGAAATATGTTAAGTATAATTTATATAAAGATGTATATAAGGATGTTTATCATGGGGTTGTCTATCTTTGATCAATTTTTTAAATTAAACTTTGATTTTTATTCTTTAGTGTTAAGTTGATCAATTTTATATATCAAAATTTTCATTTGTAATCAAAATTAAGAAAGCTGAATTAGAAATTTGAAATATGCTCAACTATTATTCCCTTCCTGTAATTAAAGAATAAAGCAATCATTGACAAATATTTGAACATTTACACCCAAGTCCAAGGATATATAAGTGGATCTTTTACCTGCCTTCATTATATAATATCTATGGGGAAAAAAATAAAACTTTTCTCTAAAGAGTATCCTTGTACAGCAACACATGCAGAACTGACATATTCTTATAATAGGTACATAATATACCATAGTAATACTACGATCTATGGGATGTCACTCTGCTGTAGTTCTCATCTAAGCAACTTACGTGTAATGTCTCACTGATTCCTTACTAAACTTTTGTAAGGTGGGTGGTATTATCATCATTTTTATAGTTGAAGAAACGGAAATACAGAGAAGTTTTTTTCTTTTTTTTTTTTTAAAGAGAAGTTTTGATAAACTTCATAAATGTCCAACTGCACTTCCATTGTTATAAAAACTTTTTAAGGGCCTATGCATAGAAAAGAACTGGAAAAATAGACATTAAACTGTTACTGATGATTGTCTCTGGGTAGTATAATTATGGGATAGAAGTTCTTTATAGTTTTCTAACTTCTCTGTACTGCACATGAATTACTCTTGTACTGAAAAGGGGGAAAGAATTCCCTCACAATAAGAAGGAACAAGGTAGGCTTACGTTCAATTTTTTTTTTCTTTTGTTTTTAAGACATCTGAACTATCTTCATTCATCCTCCAAAACCTCTTCTAAATCCTAAACACATAAGCAAAATTACTTATTATGGCTACAATACTCATTTTAAATGGATCAATTTATTATATGTATAACCCTGTATATACAGAGAATACATGTTATCTATATACACTTGACACCACACTGGCACTCTACTGTATGAAGAACATTTATGCCTACTTTTTAAGATTCTCTGTAGGGAATCTGTGATACAGCCAACAAGTGTCCCTTGTGCTCCTATAACACCCTATGTTCATCACTGTCACAGTACTTATCACACTTGATTATGACTAAGTTTATCAGTCTTTCTCTTCTGACAAAATGTTGACGCCAGCATTTGTGTTAGCACAGAGCCTGGAACACAGCTGACACTTAGCAATTGTTGGATACACTGATTACAGATGGACGGACAGACTTCTGCACATATGCATACATGGATGGATGCATGGACAAATGAATACAGAGATAGATGGACAAAAGAGTGGATAGTCACATGGATAGACAGATGTATGGACAGAGGAATGAATGTACCAATGCAGACTTTTGGTCATGAAATCCTGGCTCCAGTCCCAACTCTCTAGCACCTGTGTAACAAGTCACCCTACCTTTCCAGGTCTTTTATTCATATATAAAAGTGATTAGACTATCTGACATTAGAAGGTTCCTTCTAGCTGTTAAATTAGATCACTGAGACTTAGGCATTTTTTCATTTTAAGCAATTAGAGAGGTTTGCTGGTGGAAAACTTCACTTTTGATAACCATGTGGGTCACATTTAAGATTGCACTGAGGCCAAACCCTTAACCAGGAGTACATTCCTGACCCTACCGCCGTTCCTATATAAAAACATGACTCACTTGAAGACGAGGGCTTACATGCTTTTTTAGAATTGCAGTGAGGTTTGGACTGAGAGTCTCAAACACCAACTTACTGAGGGCAAACTTTAAGTCTTTTGTTCTTCAATTTATGGAAAAAAAAAAAATTTCCAATCCAACAGTGACATTGTATCTTTAAAGTGGAAGAACTTAGCTAAGGGCTCTTTGCAAAGCAGTAGAGCACAGTCCCTCATGATATAAATGTAGCCACTTACCTTTTACTTTTTTATCAAACTTCTTCTGTTTCATTTTTTCTCGGTTTTTCTGTTGAACTTCCTTCGCTCCTTCTAATGCTTCCTGACTACCCCAAACTTCAAGAGACCTCTTCACAATCTGAAATACAGAATCCATAAATCAGCTGTGATTCACTGTTGTAAAATAGTTATAATTATTAAATCCATAGGTGCCAAAGAGTGATCTAACTTAAGTGCAATTTTATAAGTATTTATTTGAAATTTAAAAGTTTTTAAATATTGATAAGAAACAACTCTAGGGCTTCCCTGGTGGCACAGTGGTTGAGAGTCCACCTGCCAATGCAGGGGACACGGGTTCGTGCCCCGCGCCAAGCCTGCGCGTCCGGAGCCTGTGCTCTGCAACGGGAATGGCCACAACGGTGAGAGGCCCGCATACCGCAAAAAAAAAAAAAAAAAGAACTCTAATAATATCTCTATCTATAAACCTATGAAACCCTCAGTGAATGTATGATGAATGAGATTATGTATTTGCAAACCACAATAAAACCAGGTGGACCTGTATAAATAGAAAAGCTGTCCTCTGACTGCAATCACTTCTCTGCTTTGTTTTCACGTGAATCAAGAGAACTACATGTAGTCAGTGCATTTGATAGAGTTTTGGCAGGATCACCAAAGAAAATCTGCTGACCAATTAGCCATATCAGATCTAAATATGAGGTCATCTCCAGAAATCTCCCATCACAGGAAATCAATCACTACTACTCTTCTCCTGAATCAATAACAGTTTCCATCCACTTGACTAATTTCTGATCATAAAAATATGAATTTTCTTTAAAAACTTGGGTAGCTGAATGACCTAACAAGTCTTTATTCTAGTTTAAAAACCTTGGAATATATATATATATATATATATATATATATATATGTACTCTTTATAATATTTATTTACATGTAGAGAAATAATATACACAAGGGAAATAATATACACACTGAGAATTATGCTTGGGTTATCTCTCATAATGTGTTACAGGGACCAAAATATCAATCAATAAAGCCAAACTGAAATTTCTTAACATAAAGTAATATACTGTTATTTCATAAATTCTAAAACATCACATTTTCCACAATTTAACATCCCTGAAAATGCTGCATCACTAATGTAACTTAATGGTACTTTAACAACTCTGAGTCAACAAGTGGTTCAGAAGAATTGGACTCTGAATGTAAGGAAGTTTAGGAATACCTTAATAAATCTGTGGTACTTGCATTTTCCTTTTTATGTACACACAAGCATGATTTATAGCAAAAAAAAACTATAGTAAGTCTAATGGCACTATTTCAATAAAATAAAAGCACCAAGTGATAAGGCAGCACTGGGTCAGTTTAATTAGCAGCATTTTTTCATTTTTAATAGTACATAAAATTATGGTGAATCTTTTAATCAACAGTGTATTATGTTTAGTGAAAATTCAATATATGTCTGCTTTTAAAATGTGGTTTCTTTATTAGAAGGTACTAGGATCTTCTAGTATATTCCAATCAAACTGTGCTCTAAAGCAATGCCTCCCAATATTTTTTATAGAATGGCACAAAGAAAGAATATTATGATATTTGTACCATTCTTGGGTAGATAAGCTGGAGTTAGATTCTGGGCATCTGTGAAATTCCCAAATTTTTTTTTTATGATTTTATTTGGGGGGTAGGTGGGCAAGGGCTGACTCCTATTTCAAGCATTTTTGTTTCCAAATTGTACTCCTAACATCACCCAATAGTAATATATTTGCTTCAAAGTGCCACATCAAAAAGCAAAATAAGTAAACATGTTATTAAATGTCATTATGTACGACTATGACTCATGTAAAACAATAAAATGAAAAGTATCTTTTTAACTTTCTGTAAGTAAAAACTAATTATAACTAGTTCATTGTTAAAACTTCGCCCGACCCAGGGTTTAAAATGACTGAACCTGTAGTTTTAAGTAGAGTTTCATATCACCCCATTGTGCATGATGAGGATTCTTCTTCACAATAAATTTAAGAGCTGGTTCTCTTTTTTCTAAATCACAATCTTTCAGAAGGTATTCTTGTTTTGCTTCTGTTTTAGTTATAAGCTTGTGTTTATCATCAGCGTCTCTGAAAACAGATTACATCCATTATATAAAGTAGTTGTTTTAAATAAATTAAGATTTTCAAACAGTCCCCAAACCTAGGGGCATACATGCCAAAAGAAACATATAAAATACTTTTTCCTGAAACTCTCATGGTCAAATTAGCAGCATAAGAATTCCAACAGAAAAATACTTTCTTTTACTAATTCTGAGAAGCTATTTATATTAGCAGCAGATCCATGTTATTTAACGTGTTAAGAATTTCTTTTTACTAAGTCCCTCTTTTCCACAAAGTATTTGAAATAACTTACATGAACACAGCAAATATAAATGAGAACTAAGACTCAATGAGTAAGAAAATATAAGGCTTAAAGTCAGGAGAGGCAGGATATAAGGAATATAAACATGCAAGGTCCAAATGCACCAAGCACAGCTGAGTTTCCAGTTGGCTCTGAGCTTTTTCAAAGCCCAGGTAAAAATGGAGACATGGTCAATTACATAGCTCTTCTCATTCATTTGTTCTCCATCTACATGCTAGGTATTGTTCAAGGTACTAGGAATACAGCAAAGAATAAAACAAAGCCTTGTTTTCAGGAAGCTTACATTCTAGTTAGGAGAAGACAGTCAAAAAGCAAACATGATGATTGATAAAAGTGCTATAAAGGAATACAAAGCATGGTAAAGGAACAGAAATTTTCAGAGAGATTGGGAAATCAAGAGAATGCCACTGATAAGGAAACATTTGAGCAGGGCCCTTTAGAAGTCAGAAAACATTCTGAATAGCTAGAGAAAGAACATTCATAGCAGAAAGAAGAGAAAGTGCAAAGACTCTAGGACAGGAGTGTGCTTTGCAAATGGAGTCCACAAAAAGCGAGCCAGTGTGACCAGAATGCTTAAAGTAAGTGATGGTGAGGAGTGATGGAAAATAAAGTCAGAGACAGACAAGGGTCTTGTAAGAAATGAAGACAATTTTATTCTAAATGGATTAGAAACCATTAAAGAGTTTTGAGTAAAATGCTATATGGAGAAGAGACTAACTGTGCACAAGTGGGGGAAAAGGCCAGTTACAAGAGTACTACTGCAGTGGTCCAGGCAAGAGCTGATAGGGGCCCAGTCTAAGGCAGTAATAGTACAGAGGATGAGAAACGGATGGATTCAGGATATGGTTTAAATACAGACCCAAATGGATTTGGAATTAAACAGGGGATAGAGAAACAGCCAGTGAATGAAGCTGGCCTTTACTGAAATGGTGAACACTTAGGAGGAGGTATAGGACAGGCGGTGGGGGGAGGTGGGGAGGAGTTATAATTGGGAATAACTTTAAGAAGACTAAATAATTTGGAAGTATACACCAAAGGAGGGGACAGGTAAACTACATTGTACTAATCTATAATCGTCAAAGACGTTGGAAAAAACAAATAGAATGGAGGGCTGTATTCCTAATTATGTTTACATTTAAAAGTATATTTCCAGACTACTACATAACTTTCTTTAAATTGATAATTAGGTTGCTTCCATTTTCTCATGGAAGTAAGGTTATATGTGGTAATTTAGTTCCTGAACACTATCTGTACTTTAAGGAGAGTGATAACACTGTGGACCTTAACCACTGTGTGCATTAATGACACTGTTACATCACTGGGAATAGAGTTAATAATTCCAGTGGGTACCAGAACATTTCCCATCACAGATCTGATCATGAGACCAGAAACATCTCCCATTCTATCTTCTAAGGATCTACTTAGCAACAAGTCAGTGGTGATGGATCTAGATGTCTGCAGCAGGGACTCTGAAAAGGCAGGCCCACCAGGCGTGTGAGCAGTTGATCTGGGACTGTACATACAAGAAGTGGGGACACAGGACTTGGCTGAGGTAAGCAGTAGGGATAGGAGAACCAAGTGGAGTGAGTAATATTCTGTGGTGATACAAAAAGAGATAAAGGCTAGGAGAAGAAAAAGAATGACAGAAGAATGTGATTTTTCCTCATCTAATCTCTTCCCTGCCAATTCAGGAGAGTAGAAAATGAATGCAAACAGGTGTTCTGAGTACCAGAAGAGTAGCTGGAGGCGTTATACTTCCCTCCTCTCATTGAAGGTGCCAGTCCTCTGACCAAGGTATCAACACACACTAGTCAAAGAAAGAGGGCTTCCCTGGTGGCGCAGTGGTTGGGAGTCCTCCTGCCGATGCAGGGGACGCGGGTTCGTGCCCCAGTCTGGGAGGATCCCACGTGCCGCGGAGCAGCTGGGCCCGTGGGCCATGGCCGCTGAGCCTGCGCGTCCGGAGCCTGTGCTCCGCGAGGGGAGAGGCCACAGCAGTGAGAGGCCCGCGTACCAAAAAAAAAAAAAAGAAAGAAACAAAGTAAGAAACAAAGGGATCCTTAGGGGCTGGGGGGAGAGAAGGGTTAGGAACCTGCTACTGAGAGATGGTTAACGCCCCCGCAACCGCCCAGCAGAAAGGAAAAGGACATATCTATGGCAGAACCAGGGACATCCTTCCTATTTATGTGGCATAACGTTGATAAGCATAGTCTTCCTGTAATTCTTTAGCAAAATGGAAAACAGAAATTTTAGGAAACTCCCAAAGCAAAAAGCATATTTATGAAGAAAATATTAAATCCAAATGGATCTAATTATTGTTTTGCCCTAAACCTACAAGCAAACATTAAATTTTAGTAATTTAGAACATGCTCTGAAATAAAAATAAGTACCTGCAGTTATCACAAGTTGCCAAATCAAAGTGGTTCATTAGATAAGAATCCATAAATTCTTTACCACATTCTTCACATATAACATAATCAAATTCCATTACAGGTCCTAAAGAAAGGAAGATTAATTCTCTAAGTTGCCTTTTTTTGTGATTAGAATAGAGCCTCCTCTATTTTATTAGCTTACCACCATGTATTTTATGCCTGATACAAACATATTTACATAACAGACAACATAAAACCTTAAGTAATCTTACATTTATCTAAAAAAAATTTTTTTAAGGAAAAAAGAAAAGAAAAAGGAAATAACATAAAGGAAAAAATTATGGACTCAACCAGTATTTTTGAACTCAAACAACATGGAAGGTTCTTGTATAACTTTTGTATTGCTGGTATAACAAATTACCACAAATTTAGTGGCTAAAATAACACAAATTTATTTTCTCACAGATCTGTAGTTTATATGTCTGACACAGGTCTCAGTGGGCTAAAGTCAAGGTGATGGCAGGGTTGCACTCCTTTCTGGAGGTTTTGAGGGACAACCTATTACCAGCCATTTCCAGCTTCTAGAGGCCACCTGCATTCCTTGACTCATGACTCCCTTTCTCCAGGGATGTAAGCTGGAGCCAGCAACTGCAGCTTCTTACATCACTATGGCTTCTTCCATAATCACACCTACCCCTGCCTCTCTCCTGCCTCTCTTCTACTCTTAAGGATCCTTGTGATTACACTGGGCCCAGCTGGATAACCCAGAATAATCTCCCCATCTCAGTCTTTAACCTTAATCATATCTGCAAAGTCCCTTTGGCTCTGTAAGGTAATAAATGCATAGGTTCTGGGAGAGTTAGGATGTGGACATCTTTGGGGGCCATTACTTGGCCTACCACAGTACTGTTGAGAGTATGAAGATTAGTCTCAAGGCCGGAGGGAGGTGGGGGAGCTGCTTACAGATAAGGGAGATGGGCACCAACATATAACACAGAAAACAGAGGCAACACAGAATTCAATTTCAAATGGGAAACATTTTCTCTCCCTCCCCGCCTACCAACAGAGTAAACAGCTTCCTCTTCATCTGTCTCAACCACTAGATTGGAAATCTCCTGAAGGCAGAGACTGTATTTAGTTTAGCTATATATCTTCAATACCCAGCACAGAAACTACTCTAGGTAGAGTAAGGCCGGATTCTTTTTTTTTTTTTAAGATTTCAAATACCTAGCTAAGGATCTTTATCCTACAGAATTTTTTTTTTTTTCCAGCAAGTCTGAAAGTTTTACTCCTAAGTCTTTAGGATGATTGCTACTGCCAAGCCCCAACTCTGAGAACTGCCACAAGTCCCAGCAGGAAGAAAAATGGAGTTGCCATTTGTTCATGATTTGTTCAACGTATTCCTATCACTGCCTTCCCTTACCTACTTCCAACACAAGAAGGTCAGTCAGTATTCTAGCACTCCTCAATCTCACTAATCTCCAAACTCTAACAAAAAAAAATCACTCTTCTTTCTAAAATATTACAGGGGCATAGCTATGGACAAAAGGAAAAACTGAAAATATAGTCAAAGTGGTATCTTCAAAAAGCTGGTTACTGGAGTGTGTTTGGATAGAGAGAAATTACAGTCAGAAATACCAATTAGGAGGCTACTGCACAGTATTATTAATCAAAAGCCATAAAATGTGCATACATTTTCCTAATTTTAAAAATGCCTTATAATGGAAAGTTTTAAATATACATAAGGATGATTTTTCAACTCCATCACTCCCTTTACATTTACCATTGGGAAATTGCCAGTCTACTGTGATCAAGAGCCTTCCCCTCCCCCATTCAGTCATTCATTCACTAACACATTTATTATCCATATAGACTCATGGATTCCTATTATTTCAATGGTGTCCTTCATTACTTTAGCGTTCAAATTGTCTGAAATTTGGCCAGTGGAAGCCCCTTCAAGCTGACACTTATGCCTCTGAAACATGCTTCTATCACTTTCTGAACACTTACATATTTTCTGGCATTACAAAATGTCCCAAGCTCATCTTGTAGCCATCCTGCCCCAACCCCGGAATCAGCTATTTCTCTGAAGGGCCCTGGTTCCTTTTAGTGGAGAACAGTATCAGCATCCAAGATCTGGACACCAGCTGTGCTCATTGCTACCGGGCTACGTCTGCTTCAGGGCCATTTCTCTGAACAGGGCTAGGAAATATATGTATATATAGACACACACAAATACTCATACATGTACTGTACACTTTTTTTGTTGAGATATAACTGACATAACATTATACTAGTTTCAGGTGTACAACATAACGAGTCAACAATTGTATATATTACATAATGATCACCACAGTTAAGTCTAGTTAACATTCGTCACCATACGGTTACATTTCTTATCATAAGAATTTTTAAGATCTAGTCTCTTAGCAACTGTCAAATATGTAATACAGTATTACTGTTACCATGCTGTACATTACTTTCCCGTGACTAACTGGAAGTTTGTACCTTTTGACCCACTTCAAACATTTCACCTACCTCCCTCCTCCTCCCCGCTCTGGCAATCATCAATCTGTTCTCTGTATCTATGAGTTTGGTGGGGGGGGGGGGGGGGTTGTTTTTAGATTCCACATGTAAGTGAGATCATATGGTATTTAACTTTCTCTGACTTACTTCACTTAGCATAATGCCCTCAAGGTCCATCCCTGTTGTCACAAATGGCAAGATTTCATTCTTTCTTATGGCTGAATAACATTCCACTGTATGTATACACACACACACATCACACTTTCTTTATCCATTCATCCATCGATGGACACTCAGATTGTTTCCACATCTAGTTATTGTAAATAATGCTGCAATGAACAAGGGGGTGCATGTATATTTTCAAGTTACTGTTTACATTTTCTTTGGATAAATACCCAGAAGCGGGATTGTTGGATTATATGGTAGTTCTAATTTTTTGAGGCACTTGCATACTGTTTTCCATAGTAGTTGCACTGATTTACATTTACAAGGGTTCCTTTTATCCACATGCTCACCAACACTTATTTTTTGTCTCTTTGATAACCACCATTCTAACAGGTGTTAGGTGGTAGCTCACCGTTGTTTGATTTGCATTTCCCTGATGATTAGTGATGTTGAGCATCTGTCCATGTATATAGTGGCCGTCTGTATGTCTTCTTTGGAAAGATGTCTATTCAGATCTTCTGCCCAGTTTTTAATCGGACTGTTTGGTTTTTTGCTATTGAGTTGTAGGAGTTCTTTATGTATTTTGGATACTAACCCCTCATCAGATGTATGATTTGCAAATGTTTCCCCCATTCAGTTAGTGGGCTTTTCAAAGGTTTGCTTTGCTGTGCAGAAGCTTTTTAGTTTGATGTAGTCCCACCTGTTTAACAGTTTTGCTTTTGTTGCCTCTGCTTTTGGTACCATATCCAAAAATATCATTGCCGAGACCAATGTCAAGGAGCTTTTCATCTATTTTCTTTTTTGTTTTTTATTTATTTGGTTGCGTTGGGTCTTAGTTGCAACTCACAGGCTCCTTAGTTACAGCTCCAAGCTCCTTAGTTGTGGCATGCAAACTCTTAGTTGTGGCATGCACGTGGGATCTAGTTCCCAGACCAGGGTTCAAACCTGGGCCCCATGCATTGGGAGCACAGTCTTAACCACTGTGCCACCAGGGAAGTCCCCATCTGTTTTCTTCTAAGAGTATTACAGTTTGTCTTACATTTAAATCTTTAATCCATTTTGAATTATTCTGTGTGTATGATGTAAGACAGTGGCCCAGTTTCAATCTTTTGCATGTGACTGTCCAGTTCTCCCAACACCTTTTATTGAAAAGACTGTCCTTTCCCCTTGTATATTCTTGGCTCCTCTGTCATAAATTAACTGACCATATGTGTAGGTATATTTCTGGGCTCTCTCTTCTGTTCCATTGATCTATGTGTCTGTTTTTAATGTCAATACCATACTGTTTTCATTACAATGGCTTTGAAATGTAATTTGAAATCAGGGAGCATGAGGTCTCTAGCTCTGTTCTTTTTCCTCAAGATTGCTCTGGCCATTCAGGATTTTTCATGGTTCCATGTGAATTTTAGGGTTGTTTGTTCTATTTCTGTGGGAAATTGCCATTGGAATTTTGATAGGGACTGCACTGATTCTATAGATTGCTTTAGGTACTATGGACATTTTAAGAATATTAGTTCTTCCAACCCAGGGGCACAGAATGTTTTTCTATTTATTTGTGTCTTCTTCCACTTCTTTCATCCATATCTTATAGTTTTCAGTGTACAAGTATTTCACCTCCTTGGTTAAATTTATTCCTAGGTATTTTATTCTTTCTGATAAATGAGGAACTGTAAACAGGACTGTTTTCTTAATTTCTCTTTCTGATAGTTCATTAGTAGTGTACAAAAATGCAACAGATTTCTATATATTGATTTTGTTTCCCGCAACTTTGCTGAATTCATCTTTTAGTTTACATGTACACTTCTACATGCATACACATATACATGTTTTAGAAATCATGAGTTCACACTGATACTGGCAATTTTAATCCATCCCCACAGGGTTTTCTTGCCTTCTCCCATTCCATATTTGTATGTCCTTTCTACAATGAGAACCTTGGCTCCCAACAACATCAAGAAATACATTCATCTGCTTGAGCCAATAATACATCTAAACTAGTTTCAAAATTTCTTCACTCATACCACGCTATAAAATGAGTTCAGGAATTTTGTGGTTTTCCCCTTACCCCACCCACCTCAAATTGAGGATATACTGTCAAATACTGTCCTCAGAAATCATTTGGACTAGTTCTTTCTGTCCTCTCCCTCTTCAACATGATCATGTTATTTCATTTGGAAAAATACGTCCATTTGTTTATTTGCTTTTAGGTTGTTTACTCCTTCTATCAATGTTAATTTAACTTTTTTTAAGTACGTAAACTTTACCAGAAATATACATACTTTTGGGTCAGTTACCCTACTGCTATGAATCAGAGAGCTGGACAAAAGTTTACCTCCAAATATATTCACTGCAGTAATAATTATTAGAATAGAGAAAAGAAATAAACAAAAGAGCTGCATTTAAATGAATCATGGTGCAGCCATCAAATGGAGT